GAGGTTCGATCAAGAAAAATGTCACTGAATTATAAGAATCATCGTGCAGTTCAGGAAACACGGCAAGAAAACAACCGAGCAGCGTCCGGGTCGTCCTGGTCCATCGGAGAGGACAAAAAGGGCTGTCAAGAGGAGCATCGAAATGGATCCCAGATTAACGACTGCAGAAGTGGCCAAAGTTAGTGGGATGAGCCCGAAATCTGTTCAACGGATTCTCCACAGATTGTGTTATCGTTGCAGAGCAGCTAGACGGAAGCTCTTATTAAGACCTGCCAACATAGTCAGAAGAAAGAAGTGGGCAAGTGATATGATATGGGTCTGGAGAATGCCTAACCAAGAGTTTTGGCTCAACAGATTGCAGCCAAATGTGAAGCATCGTGGTTTCAGCATGATGGTTTGGGGAGATGTTTGGGTTGGTGGGAGATCGAGCTTAGTGGAGAAACAACCAAAAAAACAACTTCGAAGAGCGATCTACTGCAAGTTTTGAAGCAAGAGTGGGCGAAAATTCCACAATCTAAAATTGACGAGATGATTCTCACGATGCCCCAAAGGACCAACGAACTCCACGAAGCGAAAGGAAGGTCTACTAGATATTAACTAGATTATAAATACATCACGTGACCACGCTGTGTACACACATACTTACATGCAGCACGAAGCAAAGAAATCGCAAAACTAGAAATTACTTAAGGCTTAGTAACAAAGGTATCTTGTTAATGTTTGGTTGTTTGTTTAAAATTATGATGTTTTACTTTTTAATAGATATACTATGGTTTTATTGAGTTGCTACGTTTGTAAACATGAGCCTTTAAACATTTTTTCATCAAATAAAATTATGTTATATCAAACAAGTTTACTGTTTAGTGAGTATGGGAGGCGTTTGCAAAATCTTCAGACGATTTGTTTATCCTATTCATATAATGAACATAAGTAAATTAGACTGTCTAACTAGCTACTTAATTCTTTGTAAATGTAATCCTGACATAATTAGGATTACCATACGTCCCGGTTTAGCAACGTTGTCCCGACCGGTTTGAAATTCTTTCCCGGTTCTAATCACAGTTTACTAAAAATTAATTTGTCCTGTTTGAAAATATAAGATTGTCTCGTATACATTAATATAAGAACTTTGATGATTATCAGATAGCATATTTAATGTAATTAGGCTGAAATTATACTTGTAAAGACTGGCAAGTTCTAAGCTTTGCATTACACCACGTGCATTTGTTTATGTTTGAATCAACACAAATGGTAATGGCGCCTGCCCGTGCATGCCAGCTCTGCTGTCAGCCAATAGCGATGTCCAATCCATTTATATAGATCAGTGGTCACAGCGCATGTGACTTTTGCCCATTGGTCCCGGTTTGAACTCTGAAAATTATGGTAAGCCTAGACATAATCAAACTAAGCAGTACGTGGTGCTACCTATAAATATAATACTGTTACGACAGCAGAAGTCACGTGACGCTGGTAACACGTCATGAGAATGTCCAAGGATCTTGACTTTTCCTGACAACTCTAGTCTTTTCTAGGAGCCCTCTTTTTTTTTTTTTTTT